ATGATTAATCTCTATAATAGAACTAAATTTTGGAGACCTAAATATCACAAAAAAATCTTTCAAAATTCATCAATCACTTCTATCATCTTTTAGAGACTAAATTAAATATTTATTCCTGCTAACATATCAGACAATAACTTATTTAAGTATAAGTTTGTTAATTTATTTAAAACAATTAATTATTGAAAACTTAACTTTAGAATAAATTTTTAAATAAATTCAAACAAAAAATAAAAGTTAAATCAAGTTAAGTAGACTAAAATTAAGTAAATATACAAAAACTTAAGTTTGATTGTCATTATCTTCGTTATAATATTTCTAAATAATAAAATAATTAAAAATATATTAATTAAATAAATTAGACTGAGCTTTTTTTTTATTTAAAAAATTGTTAATGATATTTTCTTTATATTTTTTTCTTAACACTCTTTGTTACCAGCTAAAGTTTATAAGAAATCACAATTTTAATTGATCTCATGTCTCATTCATTAAATCCCTATTCTAGTTTAATAGTGAAACTTATTAAAATTTTAACTTTTTTAATAATCTTTAATCAATATTATAAAAAATGTGCCTAAGATTTCTTGATTTAAAAACTAAAACAAGTTCAAACAAATATATTGTAAAACTTAACCTGACCAATTCATTTTTACCCTTACTTGCCACTTACGCAATTTATTTATGACTGTTCTTCTGTGCCAAAACTACATCCTCTATTTTCCAAGTCATTGTGCAGTACAATAATTGCATCACATTATCTATGAAAATATAATCCATTTTTGTTCTACACCTGAAAAATTCCACCATAGGTCCATAGCTACATCAATCCTTTTAATTTTTCTAACATTGTCGATGTTCATGCTTTAATCTAACCCCATTATGTGTTATTCAACATCAACAAAAATTCAATCTTTAATGATTGAAACAATTCGTGTTATGAGCAATAGAAAATATTCACCTTATCCAATACAACTAGACAACTCATTCATTTAATTGGAATATATTGATAGAATAAAGATTTTTTTTTATATCATCATTTAATTATATTATATGTTGTAATAAAATTAAAAAAAATGATTTTATAATAATTATTTTAAATTTTAAATTTATGTCAAAATTAACCTCACGTAATCTATTTTAACAAAAACAAATCACATAATGCATGTCATTTTGTTTTAATTGGATTTAATTTCTCTTATATTTTGAATGCACATTTATTATGTAGCGAAAAATTAAAATAGGTCAGGTGTCATATTCTTTTATAAAATGAAAATCTAACTTTAACCTATCCTCTATCATAGATTATTTTTTATAAATCTGACCTAAATCTTTTAAATTTTTTTACATAATCTATTAATCTATTTAAAAAGCTTATTTTATAATTAATTTATTTACAATATCGTTAAATGACTCAATAAATTTAATTTTAAATAAGTTAATAATTATATTTTTAAATATATATAATTTTTTTTGCTTGATTTACATGATAATTCTTTTTTAATTTGTATTATAAAAGATAGTTTACTCTATTATTATTGAGTTTAAATAAAAAATAAAAAATTAATTAAAAAAATATACATATTCATGTACACTAACGTACACTCACACATAGACCATTATAAAAAAATGATCTTATTAAAAGAAATTTCTAAATATTTCATATATCACATTTAAAATATTTTAAATAATTAACAATAAAGATAAAAGAAAAAAGTAGGCACAGGTATAGTTACTAATTTTTTTTAATATATTAATTTCGTATAAGTAAGGAATGTAAAATATTTAAATGTAGTAAAAATGTAAAATATATATATATATATATTAATAATTATATATATATATTATTTAATTATATTGTTAATAATATTGTATATATATTATTTTTATTATATCATAGATAAATAAATTATTAGATTTGACAAACTTTTTAAATAAACCTGAGTTTAATATTTTTAAATAAATAAATTTTTTTTAAAAATCTAATCTGACATTTTTGTTAGGTCAGACTTTAAATAAGTTAAGTCATGAACTTTTATTTAAGTTTAATCTATTCTTATTTTTATTTCGTTATCAATTTTTCATACTTTATAAAAAAAATATATACCAGACACAATATCCAATATTAATTAGTAAATTGTTCATAATTGAGATTTTTCATTATTATTTAATCATAATTTGATATGTATTTTAAATTTATTAAATTTTATAATAATTATTTTAAAATATACTTTTATTATAATTTTGTTTTAGTTAACAACGTAAAATTTATAAATTTATAAACAAATAAACTCAATTAACTAGTTGCATTGGCCAATCAACTTTTATTTAAAATTCAACATTATTAATTAGGTCTTATCATGCAGATAATGTTTAATTTTTTATCATACATATAAAAAAATTCAATTTATAAATTTCTAAAGAAATTAATTTTTAATTTTCGAATAAGAGTTTTATTTAAAATTCAACATTATTAATTAAGTCTTATCATGTAGATAAGGTTTAATTTTTTATCATACATATTAAAAAAAATCAATTTATAAATTTCTAAAGAAATTAATTTTTAATTCTCGAATAAGAGTTACCTAATGCACACCAAGGAATGAAAAAAAGAAAAACATAAATTTTATGAAATGAGATGTTTGAAATTGAAACAAAGAAAATGCATGAAAAAACTCAAATTGAAGAGAGAACAAAGTTCAAAATAAATTGATGAAAAACATGTATCATTATTTTTTTTTTTTAAATCATAACAACAAGACATAAAACATGGTAATCAACAAATTTTTCCAACATATATAATACTCGATTGATTTTGCCACGAAACAATATTCGCAACTAAAGAAATATACCCTTGGAGAGAAAGTACAAATACAATGTTAGAAAACACACACCTCAGTCATTTGTAGTCAAAACAATGGCAAAAGCAAATTGAATCTAAAAATATGCTGATTTAACTTTCCAAAAGGAAATCCACACTCACACCACTAATTTATTTGGAATAGACTCTGTTTTCCCATTTTGTTGGTCTGAACTAAAACTGGACTCACCCCAACAGAAGAAGTCTTACTAGGAAGTTATATTCTTGAACATGGGACTGGGACATACCCTGCAACCAACAACAGTATTTAAGGAAGTAAGGACCCACCCTTGGATCTATGTCACTCAACACAACACAAGTCATGCACTCCCATAAACATTTATGGTGTAAGTAGATCGGATTGAATTAAATTTAGATAAATTATTATTTAATTTAATTAAAATTTAATAGATTAAGTTTATGCATTCTTTTAAGATTCAATCAAATATAATTTCATTATGAATGTGTTGAATTAAATTAAATTAGGTTGGATTAATTTAAATATTTTATAATAAATATAAATTATTTGATATTTTATTATAAATGTAATGTTATCAATACATAAATAAGTAATGATATAAATAAAATTCTAAAATAAATTTATTAATTTGTTATATTATTATCATGTTAAATAACTAATATTAATATAAAATAAAATTTAAAATAAATATATTATATTATTATAATATTATCAATTTAAAAATACAAAATTTATTTATATATTATGTTGAACGAGTAATCATTCGAACATTAGTTTATTATTTTAGTTTTATTTTAATATATATGACCAGATCAAATTTGATTATAATAAAAAATATATATATAATTCATTATTCAACTTATACAAAATTAAATTTTGATCTGGTTAAATTAAATTTGTTACACACTAAAAAAAACCTTATTCAAACTTATTAAATCAATTTGGCTTTTACAAATTACCCATACCCAACTAGATTCCTCTCTTGTGTGTCTCTAAACTGCAACAACATACTCTCTTCAATGACTCCATTACTCAGGGTTCCTTATCCCATTATTTAATTTTGTTCTTCATTCTATTCTATTCTCTTTTGTAACACCTCCATGAACAAGTGGGGCCTACACAACTAGAGTGGAATGAATGAATGACCTCGTGCCATTCATTGCCTTCCTTGTAAGAGAGATTTCCACCCTTATTCTCTTTATATTTTAAAAAAAAAAAAAAATTTGGCAGAACTCACTATATATTCCATTGAAGATAAAATTTTTTTTCCAACAAGTAGAATACTACATGAATGACAACAAAACTCTTCGTATAAATATGCATTATTCTCTTTTTAAGATTTATTTTACATGAATTGATTAATTTAGTATTTTAACTTTATAATTTTAGTTTATCTATTAACTTCACATTTAATATTTAAAAAAAATTATAATATTTTATTACATTGTCACATCAGCATAGACGTGACAACTTTTTTATCTATAAAAATTAAATATAATATTAAGAATTTACATTATTGCAGTAATTGAGTTAAACTCCTTTATGTTAGTATTTCTTCTAAATACTAAATGCCAAATTAATAAATAAACAAAAGTTACACGTTAAAATAGGAAATCAAATTCGAAAAAGAAAATTTGTGAAATTACAATAATAAAAAGATCAAAATTGTAATTATATTTCTTAACTTATGACCTTTAATTACATTTGTAAGTGTTGTGCACGGAGGAGGAGTGTTTTCACGCATATACACATGTCTCTACAGTGGTGAGATATTGTCTATTCACGCATATATACATATCTTGATATTGGTAAGATATTGTTTATTTTGAATCTGGATTTGTTTTTAGATATTACTTAAAAGGCCTCTCAACCAATATAGACAAGTGTGTATATATAAACTCATGTCTATCCTCTTTTTTAAACGATGCGGGATTTTGCTTGCATTCTAACAATAAGACTTAAGTTCAAAACTATTAATTAAATTAAAATAAAGAAGACTTTTTTTAAGAAAGTGAAATATTAAAATTTAATTTAATTTTGTAAAATTAATTTATAAAATAATGATGGTTGTTTATTTATAAAAAATTTGTTAATCTCATGTTAGTGGATATCTCTGAACAGTTGTTGAATAATAAATATTATGTAATGTTACAAAATTATTAAGATGAAAGTGGTGGTGAACAAGTCCTAATTCGGAAGTTGCCATGATGATTGGTATAGATCAAAGCATGGATGCAGGAATAGAGTGAAAGAGATGAGTGGATTTTTGTTTGGTGTGTAGAGAGATAGGGTGAAGGAGGTGAAACAGGCAGTTAAAGTAGCTTTCAAAATTCATATCTGGCTGGTCAAAACCCACTACCACACCGAGAAAGAGGTGGGAAAGGACAAGGGAGGAAGGAGAGAGAGAGAATGAAAAAATTAACATACATGGGTGCATCGCATAGGGATTATAATATTTAATGTTTTTGTCCCTGAATCCTTGCCAGAAACAGTGAAAACTCACGAAAGTTTAGGACTTTTGAGGCCAGCACCTTCAAATCTTCAATCAAAGAGGACCCATCATTTCCTTTTTAATTTTTTACCCTTTGATGGATCCCAAGGGCTCAAAGCAGGCACAGGCACAGGCACAGGCACAGGAGGTGGTACCAAACTTCCTGAGCCAACAACAACAACAAGGTAACAACAACATGGGAGAGAACAAGCCAACAGAGGTGAAGGATTTCCAGATAGTGGCTAGTGGTGGTGAGAAGGATGAGAGCAAGAAGCAGTTGGCACCAAAGAGGAGTTCCAACAAGGACAGGCACACAAAGGTTGAGGGGAGAGGGAGGAGGATAAGGATGCCTGCTTTGTGTGCAGCAAGAATCTTTCAGTTGACAAGAGAATTGGGTCACAAATCTGATGGGGAAACCATCCAGTGGCTCCTCCAGCAGGCTGAGCCATCCATCATAGCAGCCACTGGGACAGGCACAATCCCAGCCTCTGCTCTTGCTGCTGCTGGGAGCACTGTTTCACCACAAGCTGCCTCTCTCTCCTCACCCTTGCACCAAAAGATTGATGAATTGGGAGGAGGGGCCAGCAGTAGGACCAGTTGGCAAATGGTTGGGGGGAGTTTGGGGGGGAGACCCCATGTGGCCACCACAGGGCTATGGCCCCCCCATGTCACTGGATTTGGCTTCCAAACATCATCTAATGCCACCTTAGCCACTGAGAGTTCCAATTACCTCCAAAAGATTTCCTTCCCTGCTGCCTTTGACTTGCCCTCTGCCACCAACATGAGTTTCACCTCAATTCTTGGTGCTGGGGGTGCCCACCAGATGCCTGGCTTGGAGCTTGGTTTGTCCCAGGATGGCCATATTGGGGTCTTGAATCCTCAGGCCTTGAACCAGATTTATCACCAGATGGCTCAGCCTGGTAGAGTTCATCAGCATCAGCATCAGCAGCAGCAACAAACTCCTGCTAAGGATGATTCACAAGGCTCAGGAGGACAGTAGAGTGTTTTTTATTAATGATTTGGGTGAAAGGAAGAAAGAAAGTAGCATTGTTCAGAGGCTCAGCTTTCTACAATGGCTTTTGTGTTGTATAATTGGGAGGCTGTGAGGAAGAAAAAAATAGGTGTATTATCAGAGAATTCAATAGAAGCTAATGGATTTGGTTTACTCCCCCTTGTTGTTCCTTCTCCCCAGTGCTCAAGTCTCCAGATACAGGTGCTTGCTTCAATTAGTCTTTTTTATTTTTATTTTTTTTTATGTTGTTTTGTTTCTTTTGTTTGTGGGTTGTGATTGTGTGTTGTTGTTGGTGGTGGTGGTGTTGACTTGCAGGTGGAATTGCATGGCCAGATGGCTTGGCTGCTTTGTCTGGCTGGCCTTAAACTATTGTTTAATTCAGAGGTGTGTTGATTATTTTGTTCTTCTCTAGGTCAGGATGGAGTGCTGTGCTGATCGCTTGGTTTGTTTGTGAATTTGATGATATAGTTTCATAATCATATTTGTCAAATTTCATATTGGATCTGGTATTAGTACTTTGTCATCTGGGAAATTTTAATCTTTGTGTGGAAGTGGAACAGCACTTGCAAATTACATCTGTGAATCCATCTACTAGCACCGCATAAATTGCTTTCTTCAAAATTCTTCACTTGGGAGGATCTTTCCATTTTGAAAAAAAAAAAAAAAACTGTTTTTCACCATCTTACTATGGTACGCACTTCTAAATAAGCTAAAGTAGTTCGTTTTAAGTGTTAACATCTACTGCTCTGCTTCATCATAAAAAGGTACTAAAATTTCCTTTATTTAGCTGTGTTTACACTTGAAAATTATGCATCTGAACTTTTGCTAAAGATCACTTAGCTGGAGAAGTCACATGGGTTGTCTTTAATATAACCAAATACAACTGTTTCAACATTTAAGCCTTCCTTTCAACATCAATTAAATTCCTTGAGCCATTTTCTTTCTGGGAGGTTTAGAGTCTACAATCCTTTTAGTTACATATTAGGAGGTGCAAGCAATTGTATAGAGATGGGGGAAAAGTGACTTATTTAACAGAGGATCAAACATACATCAACATCACACCTAAATCCAAAAGCATAGATGCATGCTAATTAAACCACAAGTTAGTTTGTGGCCAAGAGTCTAAGATAATTGATCATGGAATAGTGTATTTTCTTATTTATTGTCTTGAAGCATGGAAAGAAGAAAGACCCTTATTATATCTAGGTTTAAAAAAGTATGATTCTCAAATCCTGCACTTTTGACTTCCATGAATGTTTAAGCATCAGCGTGCTGTCTTATTTAACTTGTAACCACTCCACTGATTGAAACCCAAATTAACGTGATGTCCCTGAAGGTATATTTTTCAATCATGTGTTAAGTTAAGCCTGTTGAAGCTGAAACCATGGCTGCCTAAATTGTATATTAACAATCATTATTATATAGTTAGATGATATAATATCATTGTGGATCTGATTGAGATTGATACATAATGGATTAATTATCTTGGGGAAGGTGAAACTTTGGTACACTAGCAATTTTGTTTTTAAGAATAGCGCGGCTCCTGAAACTACTGGCAAGCTGCCAAAATCTGTGCATAACTTTTATTTATGACCATAGCATGGTAGTTTCTGTGAGCTCATTTTTTTTGGCTTTGAATGCAAGTGGGTGTTAAGTTCCCAATATTCAAATCACTACATGACACCACAAGGTGCCCAACTCATGCCAACTAGTGCTTATGTGACCTCACTGTGTGTATGAGCAACTGTGAGCTCACCTTGTTCAATGCAATTGGATTTCTGTGTTCCTAATCTCCAAGCGGTGTTGCCAGTTTATGACATGACACAGTGTGTGCTTGGTGCAAATAAACAATAGGTCTTCATTTAGTTGAATAAGCAATTTCAGTTTGGACAGATGCACTTTTTCTATGCCACCTATATGATCAGAATACAAGATAGAAATGGAGAATTTGTACTTAATAGGCCTTCTCCATTTCTTTTTCTGCATGTTGTGATGGATAGGCCTACCTGTGGTAGCTATATATTAATTGGGGACAAAACTTGGAAGTGTAGATAGGAGGGGATGACACCTAATTTTCATTATAGACTATATGGTACTACAATACTATATATCTTAGTTTTTGTCAATTCTCACAAAAGGTTTGTTGATGACTAATATCTGTCGAGTAACATGATTGACTGTCTTTAATGAAGTCTCTTCTCTCAATCACGTTTTTTCGTTTAGAAAACTCGAATTTGAGACTTATCTAAGAGAATCGAGTTTAGTATGATTCAGACTATTAAGACTTACTTAAGAGGATCGAGTTTAACATGATTCTGACCAATAATTTATTGGTCACACAAAAGGGTTTGGCTGTGAAGCTTATCTCTCCTTTAATTCATGATTATTCCTTGTAATAGTTAGCTTGGTTTTTCTTTCTAACAATTTTTCTATATTCTTTGAGGCCAGTTTTTAATGCCCTCCTACGTTGACAAAATGCGTGGGAATCTCTTCTATTCTAGCTTTTTTTAGGGTTAGACAGTGAGCACTTTTGGGGTGCAATCTATGAATTTTCAAATTGTCCTCTCTTAGTGGCTAATTAGACATTATTTTTTCAACCAACACCATCATTTGTTTTCGTTGCGATTTAAAATTGGCATGAGGGGCTTTACGTATTCAATGTTGATTTTGTCAACATGAACATGGCCAAGAGTCACTGCCATGACTTTGCCATCTCACTCCAATACTTTGGTGCTTCTATTTTACATTTCATTTATGCATCCACCGACTGTTGCCATTATTATTTATTTTTCTATAGACAGCCTGTTTTGTTGAATAATAACACATGATGTACATTTTTCCTTTTGAAAACAAGAAAAAGGTACCCATCAATCAATTCAACATATATTGGCCTCCCAAGATTTCTCAATTCAGTGCCTTTATGCTGGATTGACCCAATTCAAAAGTAGCTAATTGACATAAATAAAATGTAATCTAAGAGCCAGCTAGAAGCCACTAATCACTGTATTAGAATATCACTTACAAATTCTAAATTGTCATTTTGCATGCTAAGATGATGACTCCTTCTAAGTTACTCCAACCATACTGGTGCTACCAACCAAAGGCTCATGGATCACTAAGGCCATTAAGTTTTAACCTCTAATGGGATAATGCCTTTTTTTAGTTGCATTTTGAGAACGTTTCTGTATTCACAAAACTCTGAAAGAAAATTCTTAAAAAGAATTTTTCGTATAATGGGTGGGCATCTTCTTATTCTACAAAGAACTATCGTTAAGCCACTTTATTTGACTATTTTTTGTTAAGCCACCTTATTTCAACCAACGTGTTAATGGTACCCATTGTTATTAAAAAGTAATATTATTCTTTAATAGTTGAAATTAAGTAATTGTCAAATAATGTCACTCAAGTTAACATTTTTTTTTAATTGTGGATGATATATTAATGGTGGGCCAGCCAGATTGTTTAATTTTAAAAATTATAGAACCAAGTTTACAACATAAAAAATTGAAAAACCAAATTACTCATTCACGAAATATGAACTAAAATTGGTATAATATCACATTTTGAACTTATGCGGATCCCTTTCCTAATTTTATATAATAATTTTACCCTCAAATACTTTACATTTCATTTTTGAGGATACACAGACTCATCCTTCAAGGAGAAGATTAAGTATAAGAAAAGGGGGGAAAATCATCAGACAAGATCATTGCATGCCAGCACAGAAAGTGTTTGCCGAACTTGATGTGTAAGCTTTGATGTTTTTTCTTTATTTTGGGCGTGCCGTCGTTTTAAAAGTGTCCCCCTTGTTGTGATCTTATATACCCATAACCAGAATTAATTATAAACTCTTCATCCTCTTATCTATACGTTGTATATGGCTCATTTAATTTTTCAACCACCATGACCAAAATTTAATTATTTTTTTCGGGGGTCGATTATGAAACTAATCTTATATAGTTCTTAGGTCAAAGGTTGAATTAAAGTTCTCTATTCCTTTCTTAAAATATGTTGTGTAAGAATTAAAATGTACATACCCGCATATTTTTGCCAATATACATGTTTTTATACTAAAAATGGCCATATTGGGCTTTTGGACTAAAGCTCGCTCTATCTCATGTGTTGATACATCAAGTATGTGTCTGAAAGTGACCCAGAATCTTACAAGATATTCAAAATCGAATTTGATTTCATTTTTCTGGTTCACGATCATTTTCATATTTCAATTGAAACAAAGTATTCCCTTGCATAAAAACCTTGCAATATTCTCATATCCCATTAATTGGGGCATCCAATGCCCACAACTTTTCAACTCTTCATACTCATGCACTTATGCATGGGGTGGGTTCAATTGTATCTTGCCTTAGTTGTCTAACACAAGCATATTAATATAATCCCTCATGTCCTGCAATTATCAAATTTTTGGGTACAAAAGCATTAAGGATAAGGAAATCAAGCAATTCATTGGATATCGATCATCTTTCTCTGTTCATATTTATGTGGACTACATTCCTATGTTTGTTCTCTAATGATAACAATCCTATGTTATCCAATAGTTCCATTAATCTGTCATTTCTAAGAAATGATTGGTTTACCAAATAAGTGGGGGGATAAAATAATAAGAGAATACGTGATAGAGAAGATCATAGTGAATTATGAAGTTTGAAAACGTTTGCACAAAACAAAAGCAAATGTCGTAACAAGATAACATCGATCTATCAATCTAAGACCATAATGGAACACATCATTAAAATAAGAATAGAACATAGTGTTTGAGGATATAATGAAAAGGCAACAATGCGAAGGAGCTAGCAGAGTGGAGTTGGACTTTGAGAGCATGTGAAACCCACTGACCTAAAAGGAAACTGCTATAATATTATTATCATGAAAATGAAAATATTGATTCAACACACATGAAGATTCATTTCCACACGCTCAAAAAGCGAACAAGAAGTAACACTGTAACAAGAAGTGAAAAAGTGGTAGTGCTCCCTACTGTTTTTGTTGCTGACACTGAACTTGGAACACAAGCGTGAGAGCATGCTGCTTGGAATGAAACCAATACCCTTTCTTTCTGTCTCTCTCATTTTGTGTGTCAATCAGAAGAACTAACATGCACAGGACCAAGCACCAAAATAGATTAGCATCCACGTTTATATGAAAGATTTTTATACACTATAACTATTGAATATGAAATTTTATATTAAATAAATCATCCTTATATAAGTATGTAATTACTATGTAAACTCGTGGGGTTATGATTATGATAGTGGTGGAATCTCTGACCATAATTTTAATTGAAATAGATTATTGGTTTTAGTTTTATTATTGTTATTACAGGAGATTTGTTCTTACCATGCATCATTGAACAACGAGTAAATTATTAGTCAAGCTAGAATGTGTACGATTTATGAATCAATTACCGAGAAGTGTTAGGTCGATAACTAGTTGAGACCCATTGTTTACTGTTTAATTACCAATAATATGTATGATGCAAAAAACCATGATTGTAAATTATAGCCAATTGTGTTTGCACTAACTACATTTTTCTACCGTTTTCTGTAATTTTTGTAATAATCTCGTTAATCCGC